GTTCTGGCCTCCATGTCATCCATTAATTCCTGATAATGGATAGCTCGTTGGGCAATATCCCTTACTTAATACATGTATGGAGGGGGGTCTTTAAGCGTGGGCTCATCTCTTTCTTTTTTTACATTGTATAAAATGTCAAATATTGTCAGCTTTTTTGGTGCAAGGCACAGAGTTGCACAATGTCTCAATGTCACACTCAGACCAGACAATATCAGCTACACCAAGCTGTTTGTCTCACTGGGCAGTAAGAGTGCACTGTTTAGCTCAAGAGTGCTGGGACAGAAAGTGTTCAGTGGCGAGTGGCTGTCATGTATCACAAGCTGAAGACACAGCCAGCCTCTTCTGAAGCTGCTGCTGCTGACTGTTCGTCTTGCTAACTGCTGATCTGAGGCACGAGCCTCATAGGCAGCATTATAAATGTACAGCTTTAAAAAATGATCACAGAGGCGAATCAACAGCTCTCTGACACAGTCTGAGCTGTAAACACCAAACATATGAAGCTTGACAGTGATGGGATTTAATGCTGGACTGTTGTATTGGATTAGATTGTACAGCCTTCTCAGCACTCTCTGCATATATGTTTGTTTAATGTAGTACATATACAGTGTAGTTGAGACATCTGTAATAAGCACCCTGGGGACTCCCTAGTAGCACTCTGTGGGACTGATTAGTAAATAGTTCACCTGCTCTCTTGTCAGACACACATAGAAGGGCATGGTCACACACACACACGCAGAAGGACATGGGGTTAGGTCCTGACATAGCAGGTTGTGTATCAGCCAGATAGCCCCCTCCGCTCAGGCTATTTTCATTCGACTTACAAGAGATTAGCTAGATTAGTCTCTCCTCACTGTAAGTGTGTGTGTGTGTGTGTGTGTGTGTGTATGTAATGCATTGCATTGTATGTGTGTTGAGCTTTATCTGCCCATGGGTGTGGTTAAAGTTAGTGAAAAATTTTGGTTATGTTGGTGTTGGTTTATGTTTAAATCAGTGTTAAGGTAAGGCAACTAAAACTTGGCTAAGGTTGGCTAAAGATTGTGGAGGGGTTGGGACTGGATTACTGCCAGATGAGAGTGGTTATAAGCCTGCCATTGGCCAACTATTTCAGATGCAATTCTCCTCACATTCCGCTATCTGCTCGTTACCGTTTTCAAAGTCCCCATCCTTATGTGAAACAACACCAAAAACCTCTGAGCTCGCCACCAAGTTTGCACCGTTTGATTTTATTTTTACATTACCAAATTTCGTATCACATAGTCGACACATGTCTTATACTGTTTTATGAGCCGTTTTCTTTAGCCATGTTAAGGCACGTCTTCCCAAATGCTAATGTTTCACCAAAACAAGTATCCTTACAATCTGAATGGGAAAAAGTTTTTTCAGTGTGCATCATATGACAGACCCGAAAGTTGTGATTATACAGTTGCGGTCTTGGTTCAGCCAGACCTCCAGTGCTAGCACAACACTTATAGATAGGTTTTTCTCAATTTGACATAGTGGCCAAACCATTAGATTACAGCACTGGCGTACATCACGTGATGCACACTGGCCCCAAAAAACTTTCTCCCATAAGCTTATATTGTGAAAAAAGCTGCTGTAAAATGGTGGATTCATTTTTGGAGTGTCACAACCATCCATCCATTTGGCCCAACCATTTGGAGAGCCTAGAAGAACTGCACGATTAAATAATTGTATCCCCATTCAAGCACTGCACTCGACTGCCGAAAATCTTGTACATTCTCTATGGGCCCCACAATGTCGAAGCATATGAGAAAGATCCTGGTAATTTTATACCAGAAAAGCAAACTTCTGACTACACGCGCATTGCACAAATGTTACACTGCAAGCTTTAAGATGCATATAACATGGAGCACTTTTGGATCTCCTGTGAAACTGTTGTTTGCTCTGATCATTAAGCAGAGAATTTTAATACTATGTAGAGCTCTGACCCAATATTTAACTCATTCCTACATGACACCACCATGGTTTTGTTAATTTCCTATAGTGTTATATGTATCTCTGGAGATACTGGGAAAGTTTAAATGTGGCTTTATTAGAGATGAATGGTTTGAACAAGATTTAGGCAGCCTCTTTTCATCTCCGACATGAACAAAAACATGTTCCAGTATTTTAAAGAAGCACAATATGATGACAGATGACATACCCAGAGTACAATATTTTGTAATAAACAGACTAGAAATTAGGCTTTATATAGCCTCTTATAATCAGTTAGAAATGCCTTTATTGGCCCTCATACAGATCCTGTAGTCCAAGACTGAGCTGCCATGATTTTCTGCTGGAAAAGAGTGGATTGCTGCCTCCGGGTTGGGACTGAGCCTGAGTTCTTGCCTTAAGTTGAGGAGTTCAAGTATCTTGGGGTCTTGTTCAGAAGTGAGGGTAAAATAAAGCGTGAGATCGACAAGCGGATTGTTGCAGTTGTACCGGGCCTTAAAAAGGGAGCGAAGTCAGAAGGAAAAGCTTTTAATTTACCACTCGACCCACGTTCCAACTTCACCTATGATCATGAGCTTTGGGCAGTGACTGAAAGAATAACATTGTCGATACAAGTAGCCAAAATAATTCCCTCCGTAAGATGTCTGGGCTGACCCTTAGAACATCTTAGAACATCAAACTCCTTTGGTTTGACAAAAAGCCAGTTCGCGCATTTGATCGTGATGCCTCCTGGCTGCCTCCCTTTGGAGTATTTCTGGGCAAGTCCAACTGGTAGGAGACCCAGGGGTAGACCCAGACCACACTGGAGAGGTTGTATATCTCATCTGGTTTCCCACCAAAAGGAACCAAAGGAATTGTTATACGTCATATTTCTTAAAGGTGGTTTGGCTTAAACTACAAACTAACATTTTCATATATAAAATAATGCAATAAACTGAGCTTTATAGTGAAACAGCAGCTGTATTGGTCATGGCGGATATTAAAAAAAAAGTGTATGACACCTCTACAATCACATAAAATATATAATAGTTGTGAAAGCTCATCTGACAGAGGAACAATGGGCAGGATGCAGCTGTGCAGGTTTCCTCGCCTTCTCCGCTCACATCTCGGGTGGGAGGGACTAAGACGCTATTCAAGGCCTTTCTCGCTAAAAGGCATTGGGGGTGTACAAACTGTGAAATGAAAAAGGCCAAAGCTGTGTGTCTTTTTTGCTTAGGAAGGTTCCTAACTGAGTGAACTGACCTAGAAATATTTCAGTGGCAGCCATGATAAGAGCTGTTTGAATTCTCTAAATACTAAGGGAAGGTGCTTCACTGATTCCTTTCTTATCTCCTTTAGCAATAGACCATCCTTTAGGATATAAAGAAGGAGATAATGCCGTCCCACAATCCCTTGCACCAGCAACATTTAAAGCTGCAATAGGTGACTTTTAATAAAATAACATGATAACACATTTACTGAATATCCACAGAGCAGTCAATGAGACAGATGATCTGTAAAAAATATTTGGTTCTTTGTTTGTTTCTAAAAATTGACCGTGCCTGAACAAAATCAACCAATCAGAGCTGAGAAAGATAATTGATTGTTGAGTCAATCTTCAAGCCAACCAACACAATTAGCCTCTGTACACTGAGACAGTGACCGCCTGCAAAGCACATTTCCAGCAGTAATAAAATATCGCCATGGATTAAAGGATTGTGGT